AGTGCGTTTTTTGCTCCCGCACAAATACACTTGCATTAAAAATTTATTATCAGCACTTTGCTTTAACGAATTTTCACTTCATAGCTCACACTCGCTTTTTCACAGCTACTTTTTTTTTGTATTTCTTGTTCTTTTTTTGTTTTGGCCAATTTGTAGCTCACTCATCACTCATTTTGTGGCGCTCTCTCAAATTGATTTTCTACTTGGTCTCGTATGATTTTTTCACGTTTTTTCGCCTTTTGTTTTCATTCTTTCACTTCGCGCTGGCACATTGTACGGACGAGAGTTGTACATATATTTGTTGCACGTACATATGTATATACATACCTACTTGCCTAACTGGGACCACTCGTATCTGTGTGTGTGTGTGTGTGTGTGTGTGTGGGATCCCCACATGCGGGTGTGTCTGTGCTTAAAATTCAATGTGTAGCCATGTAACGTTCGTCGTTGCCATTGCTGTTGCTGGTGAGAGTTCTATACACTTTCGTCTACTATGCAGCCATCAGTTGCAAAAGCGGGCATCTTCAAGTGGCAAGTAGCCGGGGATAGTGTCGCGTTGAACGCATTTGTGATACGATTACATCCGTGTTTTTTTTTGTGTTTTCATCTTTGGTTGAATCTGTGTGAATCGTAGAAAGAAAATCCGCTTTAGTGGCACGGTTAGGGAAATTTATTTAGTTTAGTGGAAATTTTTACGCCAAGCGGATGTCAACTGTGAAGTGTGATGCTTGTGGACGAGCGATACATGTGTTAACGGAAGTGAAAATTACATATGTTTTAAAAATGATGGTGCAACGTGCGTGAAAAATAGCGCGAGCTTAAAAATATGTAACAAAACTAAAAGAAAGTAATAAAATGTGCAGAAAAATAAAGAAAATATTATACAAAAATAAAATGCATTTACATAACTATAACATAAAAAAAAAAAAACAAATTAATAAAAAAAAAAATTAATTAATTTAAAACAAAAAAATAAATCACGCCTGTTAAGAAAACGCTTACAATTAAAGACCGTTAATCCGCCTTAAAGACAAATTTTTTTACCTTCTACATAGGTTGTGTCCAAATTTTTTTTAAAGCAGCAAAGGCAGCATCTGCATCCGGATTCCACCATTCGCTCTCGCTTATTTTGATAGCTTAAGATCTCCAAAATAATAGCAGGCGCGCCTAACAACATGCAACAATTAGGTACATGCCCCTCGTACTGTCAGCATGGGGTGATTACACATTACATCTGTTACTTTTCCATGTACTTTTAGGCCCCGCTGATTTTCATTTACAGTATTTTCGCGATGGAAATTTAGCGTAGCGATTGCCAGAATACCACTGCTGGCTTACGATCTCACGTGTACTCACGCTATCGTATTTTAGTGGAGCTTAGCTTTCGTGAAGCGAATCCTATCAGTTTCCATTCATCATTCTCAAATTTCTCCAAGACAGCCTTGATTGGCGCTGTAATGCTTAAGCGATTCTGGCCGAGTCCAACAAAGCACGCCCTCCAAGACACCATCAATCGCGTAGTTCGAGGCATCAATTGCCTCCCGAGAGTTGCTATTCCGACAACTCGGGAATGCCTGAGTTGATTTTTCAGTCCCAGCAATTCTGCTTTTGTAATTTTTAACAACTGTTTCAGCTACGCAATCGACGTCACCCAGGCCTATCTATAAGATAGCCCACGAAAACTGCGCTTGACGTTTGCCCAAGCTTTTATTAAACGAGCTTCCCGATGAGCTAGAGATTCGGAAACTTCAAAATTAGCTTAGAAATAGACCTCTAGGTGGTGCAGGTGTCGAGATATTTAAAAAAGCCGGTCCGTTATGGTCCGATATTGTTTATATTTAGAACTTGAATGTAAAGAAAGTACACTACAGAAAATTTAGCCGTTAAATGGTACGTGGCCGAACTTTTTTCTTTTTTATTAACCAATAACAATTTAGTTACTTGTTATTATTCGATGTTAACTTTTAAGTGATTTCTTTTGAGGATATCAAATACTTGGCGCAAATACTAAGTCCACTTTTTTTGAAAACATATTTTGATACAGCCAGCAAGAAAAATTAGGATTCCAACGCAAAAGGGAATTCTGCGCAAAACTACTTTCGTCAGCATAAGAAGTTTTTTCCTCTACCTTAAAAGTTTTAGAACGGGTATAGCAACTTTTCACTCTAAACTAGCGATATAAATATTTTTCTTCTTTTTTAATTAAATTTGTTTCTCTTTTAATTTAATATTATTTTAAATTTTAGATTTTATTTGCTTTAAAAAAAAAAATATTTGTTTAATTTCATTTACTTTTTTAAAACTGAGTTTACTTTTTCCTCTCTTTTCTCTGAGTTTATTTTTTTTTTATAATTTGTAGAAAAATTTTGTATTTATTTTATTTTAATTTTATTTTTTCTCTTTTAAATTTTAGATTTTATTGCTTTAAAAAGAAAAATATTTGTTTAATTTCATTTATTTTTTATAAACTCGTTTTATTTCATTGCCTTTAATTTAATTCTCCTTTAATTTTTAGAACATATTGAGCCCCAACCGACAAAAAGACGTTAGCGACACTTTTTTTTACAAAATTTTCGTTTTGATACTGAAATGTTTCTAGATTATGTCTATTATTTTAAGAAAAAAAATTTTTTTTTTGGTTTAATTTCAGTAAATTTTTATGAACTTATTTCTTGCGTTTCTTGATTATTTTTTATATATTTTTTTTTAATTTAATTCTCTTATTTTTTTTAGATTTTATTGTTTCAAAAAGAAACACTTTTGAATATCATTTAATTTTTATTGATACTAATTTTTTCTTTTTTTAATTTTTTTTTATAATTTTTATTTTGATTCCTTAAAGAAATATATATTTTTTAACTTCGTTTAATTAAAAAGAAATTATTCCCAAAAGACAAAGAGAATAACGCTAACTAACTAAGACCGCATTTTCAATTAGTTTTTAGAAAGACAGAAATGAGCTTTCAGTATAGTTGTCTGAATTGACAATTGTCGTACGAAATACTGTGGTAAGTTGAAAGACATTTGCCAGAATTGCTATGCAAATTTTCGTGATGTTAAAGCATTAAGGTTTATTTCCAAATTAAATTGTTAAACAAATATTTCCGCGCTTCATTTTCGCGTTTTTTAAAATTAAGTTAAAAAGCAACTATCTGTTCCTCCATACCATTCACTTTGTGGCCTACTCAGATGCAGTTAAAAACTTAGTGACTTTTTTTAGACTGGAGACGTAAGACCGCTTACTGGATTCCAAATAGGCTCAAAATCGATGTTCGTCACGAAAAGTATCTATTAGTGATTAAAGACTGCTAAATGAATACCAGCATAAATTAAAATTATTTAAATGAAAGAAAAAAAAAATATATATATATAAATAAATAAAAGAAAATTATAAAAATAAATTAAAAAATTTATAAAAATAAATAAAAAAATTTATAGAAATAAATAAAAAAAAAATTTAATCAAATTAAGGTCAACAAAAATGTGAATCGAACGGCTGAAAAATATGTATTTCAAAATGCGAAAATTTTAAAAGACATTCTCTTTCAGGTAGCTTCATCATCTGCAGATTAATAATTCTTTAAAGTCTGCAGTAAGCAAATGTTTTCTTCGGCATATTTCTGCCATGCAGTTCTGTTTACCCAACAGAAAAAATCAGCTTACTTAGTGCAGTGAATTATTAAAAAACAAACAGCAGAAACAAACGGATGTAAATATACATATGTACTTATATATACAGCTGGCTTGCACACAGTCACGTAAAGAATAAATACTTAACCACTTTAAAAATATAAATAAACACAACAACTGTGGCGTGCCTATTTGCCAACGCCGCGAGAGATAACGTAGATATCCATCCAACAGATACACTTTGTAAGCGCCTAACGTTCTGTAAAAAAACGATAAGAAATTCTTATTCTTGCATACACCACACGATACATATGTAATAATGTAAATAAAACGTGATTTGCTGGTAAATACGAAAGAGTGCTGTGTTTAATGGCAATAAACTCCAGCAGCAAGCTATTATAATACATACATACTCGTAGTGCACTGCTTGTGTGGCAAGCGCGCGTGTGTTAATTTTGATATCTATTATTGTGAATGTGCACCCAAGTATAAGTTAAAAAGAAAAAAGAAAAAAACAAATAAAAATTGTCATTAGTTTATCTTGCAACGGCGCGTTGCACAATCAATCGCGCCACCGCAATCACAACCATAATCGCAATTGAAATCGTAATCCCAATTGCCACCTACACACATACACACATTCGGTTACTTTGAATTGTAAATTTTTTTAACTGGAAATAAATAATTACCGCTAGAACGCTGACAATTTTCAATTATGCTCGCCATTAAGGAGTGTTTAATACGCGAAGGTGTTCTGAATTTGACGTCAACTGCCAACCATGGCACCATTGACGGTAGTCGCCTTCCAGCTGATGCAACGAATGGTGGCGTTGGTGATGGTGGTGCGGAAGGCGATGGTGCGGCTGCAGCTGCAGCTGGGGCGGCAGGTGTTAACAACACAAGCGTTTATCGCAACAAGTACAACAACAACGGCATTGCCAACAGCAATAGCAACAGCAACAGCAACATCAATAATTTGCGCGCCATTAGCGCGAATTACACTTACAGTAATAATAATCGTAATAATCGCAATTATGCAGCTGCACCACCACCACAACGACCATTGGCACTCGATTCCGACTCCCAGTTGGCCAAGTTGAGAGATCAAAGTTAGTATTTGTTACATTTGTGTGTGTTTGTAGCCATAAAGTATGGTGGGTTAGGGTGGGTCATTTCGTATTGGAGATTTTTTTTTGACTATGCGGGTAGGGTATATGAGTAGTCTACGTGAAATTTTATGCAAATTTGCCTAAGAAACCTGGGGGTCTAAACTCAATTTCGAGCTTGTCAAATTGCGAACGTTTTCTTTTGCTGTAGTGTCGTAAATAACTGTTTTAATTTTTTATAAAGACATGTTCTAAGAGGTTTTCGGTATGAGGAATCCATTTCTGTACTTATTATTTTCTCAAAACACCCGCCAGAGGGCGCAAAATATATATTTGTTTGTAATCATAATCGTAAAAGGGAAAGAAAGCTTAGTTACATATGAATGTAGCCTGAGTTATTTATGCAATTGTTATCTTTACATTGTAGCAGGCCTATATCTGTACATTATAGATAATAAAGAAAATTTAATATGGAGGGTCTATATTAGAGCTACAGAAGTCAAATCAACAATGTTTAGAGTTTTTGTCTGTCTCTCTGTATGTTTGTACGCGCATCACTAGAAAACTAATGCGTGAAATCGAATACAGTTTTCAACGAAGCATTGCTAAAGGCCTATCTTAAAATATTGAAAAATAATAATTAGCGAGTTGCCACCTGTTTAAAAATTGCAGTTTAAGTAAAGATAAAGTAAATATTGCAATTTGGCTTTCAAAAGAACGAAGTTTAAGAAGGCTTACAGTTGAAAATATTTTTGTGGAAGGTTGCCACCTGTTTGAAAATTTCAATCTGATTTAAGTGATAAGTATCAAACTAAAGAGGTTTAGGAAAGTTCACTGCCAAAAATATTTTTGAGGAGCGCTGCCACCTTTTTGAAAACTCGTTTTTTTAATTATTAAATTGATAAAATAAGTGAAATAAGTATTACAATACGGGTATCAAAAGAAAGAGGTTTAAGAAAGTTTACTGCCGAAAAAATGTTTGTAGCGGGTCGCCACCTATTTTAAAAGTGACAAGATACGGTAAATATTGAATTAATACACCTTTGAAGAAAGTGCACGATATGTAGAATCGAGTTATATGAGTATAAATTAAATTTACAGGATTAAATACCTTTGAAAATATTTATATTAAATAACACCCTTAATAGAAAATAAAGTATGTTTTATAAATCGAAAATTTGTTTAAAAATCTCCCTTCATAAAGCTCTTCAAATCTATTATAGAAAAGAGTGCCATACTGATTTCTGCATACAAAAAGCCCCATACAGAATGATTTTATAAGAAAATTCAAACGCTTCTTTACGAAACTATGCCAAAATACAACGTTACTAAGAAAAAATTTGCTAAGAATTTCACGAAGAATACTTTTATGTCATACCCGCAAAGTAAAAAAAAAATAAAAATCTGCCTACCCTAATATGCATACATATACAATTTTATTGTATGTATTAGTCATGCATTAGTCATTCATGAATTCATTCTATTAGTAATTATTGCATTAATTTTGTTCTGTGTCATTTGTTTTTTTTTGTGCTAATTTTGGATAACCGATGCATTTTGAGTTATTTTTTTTCGGATGCACATAAATTTAATAATGACTTAATACTACACCATGCTACAAAAACCAAAGGTTTTCAAAACACGCAAAACAATCAGTATGCTCACGAAACTAGGGGCCAAATATATTAAAACTGCGTTTTTATTTTTTCGCTCTGACGGCCTTTTTTTAAATGATCTTTCAAAGATGTAATAAATTCAAAAAAAAATATATATATATTATACAAAATCAGTGCAATGTAGAGTAACAACATGGGTGCCAAATGAAATAGAAAATTCTGCAGATAACAAAAATAGTTCTAGACCATTTGAGACTAGCTTCGGACTATTTCGGGGCTAGTTCGGGTACATTTCGGAACTAGTTCGGCCTCATGTTCGGACTTGTTCAGGAGCGTTTCGGGACTAGTACCTTATTACAATGGTATCTTTTTACTCAGAAAAGTGATATTGATATAACATCTGGAACCTCTGAAAAATCAACAATACTTAACCAGGAATCGTTGTTGATTTAATGTTGTGGAGTAGTAGTTTGGGAGGGTAAAATGCATAACTATTATTTTGAAGATTTCATTGCTTCAGTCGCTAGAAAGCCAAAGTCGAGGTCGTAAAATTAAAATAAAAAAATACTTTTCACAATAAGCCACTCGCTGCCCTTGCCAACAACAGATCATAGAGCTACCTAGCTCTGGAATTAAGTTTGATTTTTTTTTTACTTTTTAATTAATTTCAATATACATATAAGTTTTTGCGTAATTAATTTTTATTTCATCTTTGCCTTTAAAATATCCATGTGTGCACGTTCTCGTTTTGCGTATTGTGTTGCTTAATTTTTGAGTTTTTATTATTTTAAACCGTATGAAGTAAGCATTTGTCTGGGATGCGCATACATAGTACATACATATGTATGTATGTACATATGTGTGTAAGTGCCCGAACAATAGATTTCATATCTCCACAGGTTGTTAACTTCATGAAAAACGTGTGTTCTATTCCGGTCGCTCATTCACTCTTCACACGATTAGATACCTACTTTTTTAATAACTCAGCTGTCAGTCAGTCATTCTAGTTTTCTAGTTTATTGCTCTCTGGTTAAAGATCTTAAACTTTTGATATTTGTGCCGAAGTTTATATGTACATATTGTGTGTGTGAGTATGTACACTGCCGGCAAAAAGTATTGGCTTAGCGAATTTTTCACAATATATGCACCAATTTCTATTCAAATATTTTTCCGCAAATTTTTTATAAAAATGTGGTTCATTCTACAACAAAAATTATAAAAATATCGTTCCTAAACTTTGGTGAAAATTCAGCAAATTTTCATGAAAATTTTCAACTTTTTAATCAGATCTTGTAGAATTTTTTTTGAGTATGCAGATTTGATTCTATTATAATAAAGTACAAGTTTTAACTAATTAGGAATTACCGTTGATTTTTGGTAATTTTTTCACGCAGTTTCTTCCATTTAAACAAAGATTTTTCGAAAATACTTTATATGGAAAAAATGCAAACAAAACACCTTCAACAAAAAAAAAAAAAATTCTCAAAAATCAAGGCGATTAGTAAGTAGTAAAAACTGACTCCGAACATGCATTTTTTTACTAGAATTGAATGGGCTACAAAACTGCATACTCAAAAAAATCTGATTAAAAAGTTGAAAGATCGTATGAAAATTTATTGAATTTTCACGAGTTTTGTACAAAGTTTAGAAATTATATATTTGTGTTTTTTCTTGTAGAATGAACCATATTTGTATAAAAAAATTAGCGGAAAAATATTGGAATAGAAATTGGTGCATGTATTGTGAAAAATTCGCTGTGCCAATACTTTTTGCCGGCAGTGTATGTATGTTTGTCTGTATATACTCGTAGCATACCTGTTAATACAATAATTTTTATAAAGACAACGTACAAGAACAAACGTAATCACTTCACATTTCGCAATAGAGTATATCACATAGTCATAGGTTAGATAGTTATACATATGTACGTTAGGGCGGGTCAATATTTTTTTTTTTTTGACAATGCACGTACATATCTCATAGGAGGATTCTAGCAAATTTGCCGAAGAAATCATCTGCTTAAAATCAATTCGGAGTTTGCAATTTGGCAAACTCCCAAGGCTTCTGCCGCAAATTTGCTTAAAATTACACGTAGAATCCTTCCGTGCTATATACGCGCATAGTCGAAATGCAAATTGACCTGCCCTTATGTACGTACATGCATAGTTAATATGTATACGTGTTTAGGATGTAAATGTGTATAAGTTAGGAACTCATTTATAATAATTAATCTGACTTTGTAGGTTTTTAGGTTTAGATTTTCTTGGAATTATAATAGTAAGCTTAGTATTTAAATGAGACCAATTCATATTTGAGCGAGTTTATGTTCACTTACAATTTCGCAAACGTTGATATTTTGAGAAGTTTCCTTCTTCGGCAACTACTAAAGCTACGTGCGCTCTAAAACTTGAAAAATAATACGTTACGAACATTTCGATAGTTAAACACATGTTAATATCAATTAAAAAATTGCATAAATATATAAAAATACATTAACAAATAAAAACACTTTTGTCGATTAATTTATCAATAAATGTAGGCGTCCTGTGATTTTTCCTCGAATCGAAAATTTTAAAATTTTCTGTCAGTTCTATAAAAAACCACGTTTATCGGTAAATTTATCGATATATTCAGGTTTCGAATCGAAGGTCTAAAAGTTTTCTCTCGGTTTTATAAAAAAAAAATTTAATTTTTCAATTCGTAGGAAAACAAGCATACACTCAATTTATCGATTAATCAGCCTACAAGTGTATCATTGAAAAATCGATAAGTATGACGATAACGATATTGATGAACGTATCGATAACGTCGTCGACAAATGTATCGAATTATCCACATTTGTAGAAACAATTTTCAAGTTGTTCAGCCTAGCATCCCTTGCTCCCTTTCTCTTTTTTTGTAAACCAACAAAATTATTGTAATTATGTACTGCCAGTACATTTGTTTGCATAAGTGTTCCATTTAATTTGTTTGCATAAGCACTTTACTGCCAATTTGTTTGTGCAACACTTAATTGCAACTAAGTGTGGTAACGCTTTGCGGTAAAAAAAAAAAACCAAATAGAAATTTCCAACGCCTAGCAGTACATAGCAATCTATGTAATGTTGAGAGAAATGCCTAAATAGCATCCACAATGCTGCCATCCCTGCTGCTTGCTTTACCTTTGATTAGCGAAGTAAGGCGTACATAGGTATAGCTCGCCTCCATGTATTAGTGTGTGAGTGAAGTGGGATTTTATTCTTAGCCCACTTAAAGTACCTTCGTATACACATTATGTACATTAGAGTGGTCCAAAGATTATAAAATCAGAATTTTATTGCTCTCCCCCAATGATACCCAAAATTGTTTATTTAACCATTTTTTTAATATTGACTAATTTTTTACGGG